TCCACCAGGAAAATGGGACTATGAAAATGAAGAAAATGATCGAATAATTTGCCCAGTAGACGAATGAGAAGAGTTGATACACAAACTAAGAACTGATAACATAACGCGATTTGTGTTAATGCCTTTTGAAATGGCTTCACCGTTTGAGTCATAATCAAAATGTTGAGCCATTTGCTTTGTTCGTCGACTGAGTCAGCTCTGTTGAATTCAAAAGGGTCACCACTTTAGTGGCTCGTTGATCTGACTCCAATTAGGTCAGTGAAACACATGTGTCGTTTACCCTCGTATATAATCGTCAACTAAAATTGTATTGGAAAGTAACGGAATAAAATAAGTTAAATGAGAGGATATATTTTCGATAAATATGCTTCATACACTCGTTGCAGCAGGCAGACCAAGAAAGGTAAGTGGAGAAACTGACCAGAGAAGACGAACATTCCAACTCCCTATACAACTCACTACAAGCGTTATTATACTTCAAAATTAATGATTGGCATCATGGCAACGGGACAGGCATTGGATAACATGACAATTGACAGACAAACATACACAGATGTACATAGGTGATTGAGCTTAAAAATACAAAGACATAAATATAAGATGATGGTGTACGCTGAAGGTTACAAATTCCTATGGAAAGAATAGAGTTACTATGATGGTAAAAAGAGCTCAACGACACATGCTCTGTGGGTTAATGGGGTCATTTTCAAAGCTGGGACGAATTATGTGAGTGTGTATTACTGCTAGACACTATATACTTCGCCTAAACCCTAACTCGCAGATTAACATGTAGTGACATATTTTTAGTTTATTTTTTTTAGCTACAGTCCTAGAAATAAGTTCAATTTACTGGGAGTTTTAGTGTACAGACAAAATACAATAGATCTTTCAACATATCATATGAGTCAACATTAAAACACAGTAATCATAGAACAGAGGATAATGATTTCGAAAGGCAGACCTCAGAAGAAAATATCGAAGTAAAGTGGCTTGAGATGGTGACATCGAACTACTTACCGACTATCAAGGGGTGAGATGAAATGTTATTAAAACCAATAATCTCAACTGAATTTGTCAATGTCAAACCTGACAAATCCAGTGACTGAAACTCGATCGATAATCAAAATTATTATTAATTTAGAAAACCGTTCAGATTGCAGTTTCTGTGTCCAAACCGAGGATAGATGATGCAGTTAACGTTTACTGGATTTCCACAATCAAAATGAAGGACCTGTGATAGGGTAGGAATATTTTTGGCAGTAATTACGCACTTCATTCACTTACGCTAAGTAGAAGCTACAGGGCAATAACTATTGCCTTAAGTACTTTATCCTAACTATTAATTATCTAAATGTCAGACACTGCACTCGACACAACTAGAGCCAATCACAGCAGAGCTACTGGCGTAGTAGACGCCACTGAACGAAAAAATGACATCAGTGTCGCAACTCATCTAATGATAGAGAAAGCTAAACGTCGTCTGAGTCTCATGCTATTAGAATAATAGACGGAAACATGAAAAGGCCTGAACTTTGGCCCCAAATGTCAGGTCACGTACATTCGCCAAAATACAACATGGCGGGGAGATTGCTTGTGTTTGATATTACATCTGATACACTATCTCAACAGAGTAAGACCTAGTTCTGCCTTTACCTATACAAACGGTCAAACCTCAGCTAGGAAAATGACACTCCCAGACCCAAAATCCATTTCTGAGCTTCTTCGAATCCTCATCGGAACACATTATTTTACTTGCCTTGGAAACCACAGTCTTATACGGCGACATCTATGAAAAGTACATGGATATTTCAAAGAACATACAACGCCAGCCAGAAAAAGTGCCCATAAGACTAAGGCATAAAACAAACAACGGTCGGCCCCAACGGTTGCTATTGTTCTCGCTTATTTTGTTGGACAATGGAACGTCACGTTGGCTTAACACATAGAGAACTAAAGACTAGGATACTATGGTAAACATAAACTTCACTAAATTCTTCACCTTATAGAACAGTAGTACACAGAACCAACTTATTGTCCAACTAACCCTTTACAAATGATTAAAATATCAAGACGTCATTGTATGTAACTATAAAACAATGATGAACAGTAATAAGCATTGCCAGGGTATTCTGACGTTTGCAGGAGGGAGTTAAAGAACAAGCTTTTCCGACTCTATTAATCACTCAACTCTCTTTAGCGTGATAAGTTTGGTCAATGGATACAAAAGTATGACTTTTCAGCTAGCGTAAATATTAACTCAACCAAACGTCCAAAGTTGTCCATAGCACGACTGCGAGAGCATCTACGCGCATGTAAATTTCAAACATATGCATTTCACATAATATTGATCGTTTGCCTTCGCCCTAAGGTGAAGGGCTGTTATTTCGCCCTTTAATTGACATTTCCTGTTGAGGTCTTAATTCTAAGTGAGGATGTTAGGGTTCATTTCAATTGCAATCTTGGTTTTTTATAGCATTTTATATAATTCCATGGCTTCATGGACTAAGTCAGTTATGTGTTTTACTTGATCCCTAAATTCGACGGCTGCTGTCCTGATATTTTTATGGCTTTGTTGTTTCTCTTCAAATTGATCATTTTGATCCATCCTTGAAAGGACGGAATACTGTTCCCTAATCCATTGTAATACCTCTTTTCTCTTCCAACTCGTTATGATTTCGTTTTGTCCACTAATTTATCCACTTTACTTTGGACCAGGTTTTTATATTTTTATTGGATAACTCTCCAGACTATACAGTTCAGTAGTGCTATTCATTTAGGCAACTGTACAATTTGTGTTTATGACCTTCGTGTTGGAAAGCACACTTAGCCTCTGTGTTTTGAATTTACTTATGAGAAAGGATGAATGTCTGTCATCCTGCTTGAGACTATCTGCAAACATATCCGTTTTGATTTAGTACATGTCAGTCTGGTTGTGTAAGAGGAAATCCTCTCAAGATTACCAGTTAGAACAGCTAGCTCAGGCTCAGACCATGCTAGGCAGTCTTAGCTAACTGTTTTGTCCTTTTGATTTGCTTGATAATCTAAATTCTTCGGATTACACATCCGTTTCATGTTGAACTTCAGCCAGGTTGACTTAAAAATCGCCTCGTTGACAGGTTGCGAGTTCGATGTACACACCAGAAAACCGCAGACATCCTTGATTAGCTGGGGCTAGATAGAATACAAATCTCAAATATTGGTATTCCTTTTGGTCATACTGTATTCTCTGCTTATTTCCTTGCTCTTACAACTTGTGCAGTATGTCTATCTTAATTATTATTTAGATCCTCTATTTCTTCAAACTCGTTTACCTTTTGAATTCTGTAATCTTGAGTTAACACTTTTAGTTGTCCGTATTCAACTCCACGATGATCAGACAGCGTTGATTTTCACGATAAACTTATCTTAATTAAACCTGCATATCTTGCATAGATTGATCTTGTTAATTTGACGTAGAAATAGAAAGATGAAATATGAAATTAACCATCATATCCATGTTTTTCAATGGGACCTAAACGAAAAGAAATAGATTTGAAGTGGTGTGACAGTAACGGCTTACTGAGTAAATGAAGGGTGACTCAGTATTGGTTTAAGTTGGATGATGCGTAAATCACAAAAAGTATATACAGATAACAGACCTATAAGTCAAGTATACATAGGACAGAAACGAATGTAATTACCGAATTTATAAACAACTAAAGCACACAGAAAGTTCATGATACACCTGACAGGCTTAGGATGGCACATGTGCATGTTGAAGCAGCATGAAAATCAAACTGTTATCTGAAAGACGGGTAAGAGACGAGTTGATCGGAGTCCTAGGATGCCAAGTGGTCAGGATATTCTAACATGTTATTCATGCAGCGGACAACAAATGTTGAAAAATGCCACAGTTATTCGGGGTTTGACAACGCCTTTACAAGTAACACTCTTATAATCGAAATATACCAATCCACTCAAATCAGAAGTCGGTAATGAAGAGGTTAGGAGATATATTTGTAAAGCTATCGATTTGTCGAGAAGCGTTTGGTCTAAGTTGGCTAACAGTTGCCAGAGATGCATAGCACAGACTGCCAACTCGTGATCAGGTGCAGATAATTGACAAAGCGCCTCCAGCCAGTTGTGTCTGCTAAAACTAATGAAGTCAGGACCAATGTCGAAGACCTACGGAACGATTTATATAGGGGATTCATTCACCGCCACATGCTAATCTCAAATCACTGGAGACGTTGCTGAAAAAAATTCAGGGCAAGTAAATAATGTATAAAAGTCCAAATAGACAGATGGATACTTAGAAAGGTAGTTTTGCCGTTGAATGCAGGACAACCGTTGTCTCGATCACGGAAACCACAATTTCAATGAATAGCCAATTATTTCATATAGGGTATAGAATCCAAAGTAATTTCTCTCAGTAATAGCTCAGTAAGGAGGACTCATCTGTGATCATTAAATATATACGGCAATTACATTAGTGGTTTGCCAATCATACAGAATATTAAATAGGAACAAGCAGTGTAGATGTCATAGTGTATTTGTGAGTGGGAATCAGTGTCAACCAGGAAGAAATCAGACTGTCAATGAAGATGTCACTGTCAAAGTTTACACAGCAGTTTTTCAGACAACCATTGTGCAAGGTAGCGGAAATGATGAAAAATACGAATAACACCAGAAATTATTCACACGATAAATTAATGTTAATCATTCTTCATTGTCCTATCTTTTAGAAGTTACAGCGACGTAGAGTGATTTTCCGGTTAACGCTACCACAGTCCATTACCTAGATACCTCAGAGGCCATTTTAGCAAATAAGAATATAGTTATCAGTTTCGCCTTTCCAAACTAGGGAATATCAAAGATAAGACGACATTTTGTTAATCAATTCTCTAACATGCGATGAGACGTCGTTTTTTTACCCTAACAATTTACTTATGATGATATTATTGTCATCAAAACTATTATATGCCTACACTTTAATACTCTATTTTTGAATGTTATCTGTTCTAGATCCTCATGGCAAAGAAACAACTAGTCACTAGGACATGAAGCCGCTTTATTTAACATTCACGTTACAAATATGCGTGTGTCGATTATGAGTCGTTTTAAAACCCAGCGGTGCTTTAGATGTTGTGTATATGCACTAGGGTATATATTATTATCTATAATATTCTTTTTGTTCTTAGTGCTTCAGCCTTCTTTATTGGAAGTCGATGGGCTCTTGCTGACACCGGTATTGTGGGCCTAATTAATAAACCCTTCTCGGTTTCCTGTGCTAGTATACCATTTGTTACCAAGTTTCCTGAAATAAATTTGAAAAACTGGATGTGTTTACCTGTTTCTTCAGTTGACCAGTTACAGGTAGACTTCTATAGAGTGTTACTTATTCCTGCAGTTAAGTGATGAATGTTATCGCTCAAAAATGGAAGTGTTGTGCATGGAACTTCAGGTGAGATGATCTTTTAAGTGTGCTACGCGTTTGGGCGTATCGTTATAAAATTGTTAGTGCTTGTCGTTCGGTACTCGGGACCTTCTAATTTTTATTTATTTATTTGAACATATATATTGGTACAAAAGGGCACCAGATACATATGCGCCACACTCATTTATTTGTGTGTGGGCTGTGATACTGCCCAGGTGCCCAGACTGAAGCAGGTGGTTTTCTTAGGGGGCCACACTCGGAGCCTTTGACCTGAAGATCTGATCCACATGGCAGTGGAGCATCGTAAGGAGATGCAGTCCCATGGTAGCCGGTGACCAACAGTTGGTTCATACGCCATTCGTTCCTTCAGGATCCTGGAGCCCATGTGCACTATTGGTTTGGAATGAGGGTTTTCCAACTCCCCTAGGTGGACCCTCCATGTCCACCAACCCGGTTAAAGCGCCGGACATTCGCTTTTCGTCCTCTCACTTTCGTAGACAACACCCCCGCCACGAGAAGGCAGTGAGTAGGACTTCCCTGACAGAGGCTATATATTCGCTGGCCATGTGAGAGCATTTCGAGAGGGAGAGTAGACTCTCCCCACTCTCGGTCGTACCAGGGCATTTGGGGGACCTTCTAAAGATGTTTGGATCTGGCCACATTGGAGTATATTCATTTGTCAGCTATATCGATATATTTAATATCTACAGGGTATCTTCATCATTCGCTTTTTTAATCTGCAGTGTAAATTTCTGATTAAATCCTCCAAACATTTGGCAAATGCCACGTCGGTTTGTAGTAACGATCTATTTGTGACACACCAATTTATACTAGTCTTTTTTAACTCTTCTTGATATCCACTTATTCTGCTTTTTGATAAATTCTTTGCGATAGGCCTATCTAACCGATATCAATAATCCCAAACAATTATTCGTGTGATTGAGAGTTTATCATCTAAAGTGAACATGTTTGTTTTGACCCAGAAAAATAATGTTTTAGAAACTGACTGTGTTTTCAATATCGCCAAATAGTTATGCTTCGTTTAATTGTTTATTTCTAACCGTTTTCTTCTCATCCATTTTATAAATGCTCCTACCTTGAGTTTTGTATACTTGCCTGCTTATTCTTTATTCAAGGGTCGCTTGTGTAAGGAAATTGAGAAGATTGATCGAAAAGCCAAGTTTAAAGTAGACAAATGGGAACGTCGTGCTGTAAGTTACATTTTCAAGCTTAGTTTATATCCAACTAAACTCACTTATGTAAGTAGTTTCAATCCAGTTTATAATTAAGATTTTCAAATATTGAAAGTTGTAAACAGCTGACAAGAACCGAACAAAATAAAATAGAATCATGTTATTCTGCTTAAATCTTTGTTCATGCTCTCTTCAAAAGGCTAGAGAGAAGTATGTGTATATATGGGATAAGTTCAAGATGCATCATTGAACCAATCAATTGATTGACATTTTTGACCACAATCCACTTTAAGTTTGTCAACTTTATAATATAGCCGAAATTCATACAAGAAATTTTGCAAAACCTTATGTGGGTTTTCAAAGTTCAATATATCTTTCTGTCAGTATTTTTAGTACGGTTCCAAACATCCGTTGTATCTCCTCTCTCTATATATATGTAAATTTTTTTTCGTAAATAGGGTGGTGGCGGAATTTCATGTGTTCTAGAGAATGGTGATGTTTTTGAAAAGGCTGGTGTAAACATCAGTGTGATAAGTGGGAACCTTAGCGGTCAAGCTGTGAAAGAAATGCGTGCAAGGTAAGCCGTTTGTTTCTCTGATCTCTTTTTCATAATCTTTTTCAATTGTATTATTTTAACAGAATCATTTTTGTTTTTGTTTGTCAAATGTAGAAGTTGTTTTTCATATTCTGTGATTTCATAATAATTACTATACGGTATTGTGAAGAATGTTGGATTTGATTGTGATTAGATAACTACTGAAGACTAGGAAATATTCAGTTACTACTTCGTTTTGATGAGAGATTTAGTTGTGCACATCCAGAATCTTATCAGATATGAGGCCTCCAGGACCTTCAAACCTCGCATCAAGTGCGCGTAACTTTTAGACCACCTAGTTGGCATTCAATGGCTTGTATTTTTTTTTAACTTCAATCAGTTCGCAATGCTAAACAGCCATCAATTCTAACGAGAAGCTGTTGTCAGGGGATTTCAACTGAATGTTGGGCGTGAGATAGATTTCACCACTGGCAATACACGATTGTCTTGAAATATCACGATTTAGTTAAGGTTAGAAATGTAAGCCACTGGATGGTAAACTAGTGATCTGAAGGTTAGGTGCTCGACGCGAGGACTAAAGTGCCTGGGTTCAGACTTTATCGGAGCTGTAAGTGTTCGCTGCAGAGGAGTTGCATGCAAAGACGAAATATCGATCCAGAATCTTCTGGCTTTCAATGGTTGTTTAACTTAGGTTGGTCTGATGTGTGAAGATTTAGATCTTGGTATTGCTATTGTTGATTCTCAGCAGTGGGGGGGGGAGGCAGTGTACAATTTCGTTCCACATTTCAAACTTTGAAGAATACTTAAGTAAATACTCAGCCAACTTTAAGAAAAATTCAGTTTATTTTTAATTTGGGACGCTTTTTTTTAAACAACAGACTTAGTAGTAGCGGTAAACCTTGTTGCTTTCATACATCAGATTCTCGACTCATTATTGAATGAACTTATTTATACTGTTAACTAACTTTGCAGATAATTATCCACGGTAATATCGCATTCTTTCAGAGTAATCTTTGGAAGAATGTTTTCCACTAGTAGTAGTCATATTGTTTATTCAGTTTTACGGATTAATTAGTCCCTTTATCTCTCCATCACATGCTTCCATTTTCAAACCAATATACCGTTATGTTTCATACGTCTTTTCACAGAAGCATATTAAATGTATCCATTTAGTTATAAGCGACATTGAACCTACCACATATATATGCATTGCATCAAGTTACCATACCGCACCAATGAAGCGTAATGAAATTATCAAGACAAATACTAGAGTAGTAGAAGTGGTAGTGTGGTGTGGTCTACTTATATCCATATAAGTAGTATATGGTGTGGGTCAGACATAGAATGTATTTTGGCAGAAGACCGATGAGGAAAGAACTGAAATGAAACGCAAACGTCTGGAAAATGCATGAGCAATGGAATAAGAGAAGAAACAGTGAAGATTGAAACAATTGGTTGTTAATTTGCAAATTGACTGTTCATTGTTTGGTAATCAGAATTTATTGAGATAGTCTGTAATCTTTGCTTAAATACATTCGATTGTCCCCAACTAGTGTTCTGTTCACTACAGTAGTAGTACCGGTGATAATAAGAAAAGATTAAGGATAGATAATGTGATTCGGGAAAAACAATGAATTTGTGGAATGAAAGATGTGAATATTGTGACGTCAAAGAGTGAGTAAATTCACGCTGTGCGGCTGATTCTAAGATTGATTTTTCAACATCTCATACAATTGGTTACGATAATCACATTTACCTCAACCAGATAGTGGATGTGTTCAGACTAACACCTATGATCATGATGTAATTTTTAAATACCTAACTATGGTTTTCTTTCCATCCTAATATATTTAGTTTGTTTCTAAAGGGATCTAGTTTACTTTTAGGGTTAGGTGTTAAATTTTTAAGATTAGTTCCAATACAACGGTAGTTTTTGTCCCGGATGGGTAACAAATAGGGAGTAAGTAGTAAACAGCTGTATTTTTCCCTCGTTTTGGGCCAACGTTTTGGTGCACACTCGACTGCTGGACACGGGAAGTCCATCTAGGGGAGTTGGAAAATCCTGATTCGAAATCAATGGTGCACATGGGCTCCAGTATCCTCAGGGAACAAACGGCGTATGAACCAATTGTTGGTCACCGGCTACCATGGGACTGCATCTCCTTACGATGCTCCACTGCCTTGTGAATCAGACCTTTAGGTCGAAGGCTCCGTGTGTGGCCCCCTAAGAAAACCACCTGCTTCGATTTGGGCACCTGGAAAGTACCACAGCCCTCACACAAATCAAATGAGATTTGTGTGGCGCATATAGATCTGGTGCTTCCTTGTACCAATATTTTTGTTCTAATAAATAAATAAATACACACCCACATAAAATGAAACCTAGGAGTAAACAGTAATCATATGTTGAGTAATAGTAACTGGCTTTAAGATTACCAGTATTTTGGTAATAAGAAGTCTTGACAGATGAATTTCGATGATGTCACGAATCAGACGGTTATTATTAATTACATTTGATGATGATCAATTTGTGAAATAATTGAAGTTGAAAATATACTACTGAATCTAGACATTTAAACACACTTGCCACTAGATCTGATGATTCTTAGTTTGATCTCTGATGAAGGTTTTATCGGTGTATATTGTCATGGAGTTTCGAACGCGGTGATGCAATAGCTGCCCAATGTTGCCTATCTCAATTAACATCTGCAATAACATCAGCTAGTAAATCGAAAATCCCATCTTTGGAATTTGTGTATATTAAACTGTTAGTGAACATACTCTTTTTCGCTGTTTTTCTGTAGACATAATGAAATTGATCCCAATAAAGAGTGCAAATTTTTTGCTTGTGGTATAAGTTCAGTTATTCATCCAGTAAGTTTATTTTTAAAAAGTTTTCCTTTTTATTACGTATTTAAAAACAGAGTTCTCTGTTTCTCCTCCTTTTCCTTGAAGTAATTTCATTTAGATATCCCGAATTATTATTATTATTGTTATTTAAACACATGAATATTGGTACAAAGGGGCATCAGATATATAAGCGCCACACAAATCTCATTTGATTTGTGTGAGGGCTTGGGTACTACCCGGGTGGTTTTCCTAGGGGACCACACTCTAAGCCTTTGACCTAAAGGTCTAATCCACAAGGCAGTGGAGCATCGTAAGGAGATGCAGTCCCATGGTAGCCGATGACCAACGATTGATTCATACGCCATTTGTTCCCTCAAGATACTGGAGCCCATGTGCACTATTGGTTTGGAATCAGAGTTTTCCAACTCTCCTAAGTGAACTTTACGTGTTCACCAACCCGGTTAAACCATCGGACATTCGCTTTTCATCCTCCCAATTTCGTAAAAAAAAACACCTCAGTGTCGAGAAGGCAGTGAGTAGGACTTCCCTGGTAGAGGCTGTATACGCGTGACCGTGTGAGAGCATTTCGAGAGAGAGGGGGGGCGGGCCCTCCAAACTCTCGGCCTTACCAGGGCATTTGGGGGTGTATCCCGAATTGTATTTCCATATTGGACACCGTTCCTACTTATGATTAAATTTGGTGTTTGTTAAAAATAAACAATTGTTTGAGCGTAGTTATAGCGAATATTCACTTATCTGTTTATCGAGCTGTAGCACTATAAAACCTATCTAAGTATCTCGTAATTTGTCTTAGAATACCTGCTTAGTCAGTAAAATCGCCTGTTACGATTACTACATTTGAACTTCTAAAATTTTGTAAGAGATAAGAAAATCTTCTGTAAACCTATCTTTTTCTTCATTCGAACTGTAGTCAGTTCAGAAGCAACAGTGTATGTTTCTATCTTCTTGAATTTTTGTTGTTCCGTGTAGTTGGACTGATCTATTAAAATGCTTTATGAAATCCACAACAGACTATCTTGTTATGACAGGAAAATTTGTCTTCTCACAGTTGTGTCCCCTCCATTTATCAGTAAAGGGTCATGGAGACTTGAATTTTATTGATGTCACGAACCAGTGCGAAGTTGAAAGCACTGAGTGATCGTTTCAGGCGTTTGCGGACGAGACCATAGATCTTGGTTCTGATTCCCGCCAACGGAACTATGGGTGCGCAATAGTGAGGAGTCCCACATTAGAACGAAACGGCCGTGTAGTGCTTCCAGGTTTTCAATGGATTTTGTAAATGAGATCGGTTCGTGATATCAATATTATTCAACAGTCTCTACAACCTTATACTGATAACTATCATGCGCCCACTAGTGACTATCTATGAGAGAAAGTTCCCGGAGTTCTACTGAGCAGTCATGAACAGTCAACTTTAACCGTATCGGATGTTAGGAATTTACGCACTACAGGTAATGAAGATTGATCGCTCAGTATCGTGGGTTAATCGAAATCCGGCCGCGAGTCCGTAAGTCCTGGATTGATTTGATTTTCTGGTTGCGGGGTTATGGATGCCCACTGCTGAAAACTATCTCTATTTGATATATCTTCTTACCTATGTTTCTGTTTTTTCCCTCATTTTCAAGCTTAATCCATATGTCCCTACAACACATTTTAATTTCCGTTACTTTGAAGTTGATTTGGGTAATAATCGTAAATGTTGGTGGTATGGTGGTGGAGCAGATTTAACTCCATACTATTTATTTAATGAAGATGCTAAACACTTTCATGAACAATTAAAATTAGCTTGTGATCAACATGATGAATTGTTTTATCCGCGTTTTAAAAAATGGTGTGATAATTATTTCTATCTGACACATCGAGGTAAGGGTTATTTTTTTAGAATAAAAATTCATTGACGCTTGTTACAAGCAAATCCGCAGTATGATAAGTACTCATCACTAACAACTGCATCTCTGTGCTAAAGTGGTATGACAACTGGAACTGATGTACGTACGTACGAAGTTCTACGTTGTGACTGACTGACTGAACATTTAAAATTAATTAGTGCTGGTAATGCACAACACTGAATTTTGATTTGAGTATTGCTTCAGGACTAGTCTGTATCAATGCTTAAACTAATGATAGGGAGTGAATTAGTAGTTTAGTACACTAACCATTTCTCTTATTTTAAAAGTCGTGTAAGCGTCGAATGTTTGGTGTCTGGTGAAGTATCGACACAGATTTAGAAAGGTCGGTTGGCGTTTGCTAACTTGCGTCACTTATGGTGTGGGCAAGATGTATGTCTTCCAAAGCGAACAGCGAGTACACCACACGATCGTTCATTCTATTCTAATTTATGGTTGGGAAATGTGAAATAAAGGATATTCGTAGGTCACTAGTATTCACTCATATATATCTACGAGGCATAGCTCTTGTATGTTGGGACCACTGGGCGAGCAATGCTGAGGTTAGATGCAGGTTACTAGACAGACATGGTAAGTCGGTTGATAAAGTTGTGAATCTGCATTGACTAAGGAGTTTGGATATGTGTTATGTATATGCCCAACCACCGCCTGCCTCAAAACGTAGTGTTTTTGTTATGATTTGACCTAGACTGTAGCCAATTGTTATGACTTGATCAAGGTCGTCGCTGATTCGTTATGACCTTACGAATTTAACAAGGACGTAATTCTCGTAAATGATCCACCAATAGAATACGCCTTCTACGACCTTCACACTGTGACAATGACGTTCGATTAATATGAGTAATCTAGCGTCCTTATTGGTCCTTATCCGCCTACCCGTCCACTTGAGTCCAGAACACCAATAGCAGCTGCTGTAATGCGAATCGTTTATTTCAAGCATACTTTATCTATATACCAGACAGGCAGACCACACCACACCATAAAATAGAAAATAATATTTGTACAAAACCAGGCCAAATGAAGCTGTAAGCGTGGGAGACAATAATCAATAAAACTGAGCATAACGTAGGGACAGTAAATCATATAGTAATAATCAATAGGTCAAAATGAAGCTAGTAATAAGATGAATATAGATATAGATAATCCAGTTACTGAATAGTTATACCATAGGAATATAAATAGATTAATAGTCTAATAAGAGGTCCCGTAAGTTATCAGTACTTACTTTTTCCTAGTATATAACACCTCCCCTTTTTTGAAGCATCATGGATAATAGCGATCCTTGGGATTTATTTTTATGCGATTAGGTTTCCGCCTGATGCGCTGCGACCGCCTTGGGAGTGTAGTACACGTCTTCTTTTTATTCGGGTCCTTTTAATTTAATTATCCGACTCGGTTAATATATTTAATGGTATATCATGCTTTCTATCACTTTCTATCTCCCACTCCTGTCTGGTCGGCTGTATCTGGTTTGCATGTCGTACCCATATCTTTTGTCCAACTTTCATTTCATAAATAACTTTCCCTTTTCTTCGGACTATGATGCCAAATTTCCAGGTTGGCTTTACTCCCTGGAAATCTCTTGCCATTACTGCTTGTCCTACATTAAACCTTCTGGGTAAGGCACCATGCCTTTTGTTAAATTGCAGTTCCATTCGTTTATTCTTGCATTGAATGACTTCAGGTTTTGGCTTCATTTGTTCCATAGGTATTCTAATCTTTCTTCCAAAAATTACTTCTGCCGGGCTTTCTTGATTATTTGTTGCTGGGTTGGGAGTTGCGCGGTAGCTTAGTAAAAATCGTTGAATTATATCTTCTATTTCTCCTTCCCCTTCGGCTTTAAGCAATGCTCTTTTAAAAGTGTCCACGAACCTTTCGACTAAGCCGTTAGACTGTGGATGGTATGGGGGTGTCTTGATATGCCTAATGGCATTGGCAATGCAGAACCTCGAAAATTCAGCAGAGGTAAACTGTGGTCCATTGTCTGACACCAATATATCTGGACACCCAAAACAACTGAATACTTGCCTCAGTTTCTTCACTGTAGCTTGTGTTGAGATATATTTCATATAGTGGACTTCTGGCCACTTAGAGAAAGCATCAATGATTATCAAGAACTGTTTACCGTTTATAGGACCAGCAAAATCTACATGAACTCTTGACCACGGATTTGATGGTGTTCCCCAACTCTGCATTTCGGTCTTGCGAGGGGCTTTTATGACTTTTGCACATGCTGAACATTTTGCAACATATTCTTCAATCTGCGCATCAATATTCGGCCAATATACATAACCGCGCGCAAGTGCTTTCATCCGCGCTACCCCTGGGTGTGCAGCGTGCAGTTCTAACATCACCTTCCGGCGTAGGCTTGTGGGTACAATAACTCGATTTCCAAACATTAGGCACCCGTCCACGAGCGATAAAGAATTTCGTCGGTGAGCATACTGTTCAATATTTTTGTTGTCTATATGAGAAGGCCAACCATGTTCAAGGTAACTTATAATCCGTTTCAGCTCGCCATCTTCTTGAGTGTAGCGTCTAATATCTTCAGCGGATAATGGTGTTGCTTTTATAGCAACTTGTAGTATTTGGTGGATATCTTCTTCCAATGATATCGTTGCAATAATAGAATCTTCGCTTTCCTGCTTCTGATTCGCAATTAATCGAGATAAAACATCAGCTTGTCCAAACTTTTCAGTTGATTTATATAGAATTCGGAAATCATAAGCAAGTAGTGTAATAGCCCAGCGTTGTAATCGATTAGCTGTATATGCAGGAATACCTGACTTCGATCCAAATATAGATAAAAGCGGCTTGTGATCTGTTAGAAGAGTAAATCGACGTCCATAAATCATTTTATGAAATTTCTTTACTGCAAAAACTATAGCTAATCCTTCTTTTTCAATCTGACTATATTTTCGTTCAGCTGGGTTAAGTGTTCGGGATACATGAGCAATCGGCTTTTCTTTACCATCAGGAAAACGATGGCTGATAACAGCCCCAATTCCATAGTTGGAAGCATCAGCGGCAACAATTATTTCAAGCTTAGGATTGTAATGAGTCAACAATAATTTAGAAGATAAAATCCTTTTTATTTCGTCGAAAGAATATTGGCATTCTTTTGTCCAGTACCATTTTGCACTAGCCATCAAAAGTTGATTTAACGGGTGTCTCAATTTATACATCTGGGGTACGAACATACTATAATATCCAATCATCCCCAAGAATGAACGGAGAGTTGTAACATCAGTTGGTGTGGGCATATTTTTGATGGCATTTATATTATCTGGATCTGGCCGGCGACCATCTTTATCAAATATATATCCAAGATATTTAACAGAATCTAGCATAAATTGACACTTTTCTTTTTGTAATTGAAACCCGGCTTGCGATATTCTATTGAGCACTACGTCTAACCGACTCATCAGTTCGTGAGCAGAAGAGGCAACAACTATAATATCGTCCAAATAAACTGCCACACCTTCAAGGTTAGACAACATGGTATCCATAATCTGTTGGAAAATTGCTGGAGCTGGTTTTACGCCAAAAGGTAATCGGCTAAACTGGTAAAGTCCACGGTGGGTATTAATGGTTAATAACTCCCTCGAATCTTCGTCAACTTCTACTTGTAAGTAAGCTTCAGATAGATCGAGTTTGGAAAAGTAACGTCCACCGTTTAGTTTAATAAATAAATCTTCTGGCAAGGGAAGTGGATATGAGTGATTTTGTAAAGCATCGTTTAATCCTGTTGAAAAGTCTGCACACAAGCGAATAGTTCCGTTTGCTTTCTGCACTACTACTATTGGTGCTGCCCATGCTGAATAATTAACCGGTTGTATTACACCCAGTTTCTCTAATCGATCTAACTCCTTGTCAACTTTATCGGTGGCTGCATACGGGACTTGGCGTTTTGGACAAAAAACAGGTTTTACATCCTGTCGTAAATATAACTTTGCCTTTCCAATGGTACAGCATCCCAATTTATTCTGGAACAACTTCTTGTGTTTCTGTAAGAGGTCTTCTATCGTTATGGCTTTCTTAGCTACATGAACCATGGGTAGATCTCTGGGACTATTTGTGCACTTCATCATGCATATTTCACTCAATGGTACATCCCATAGGTTTAGTTTATCTATCCAATCTATTCCAATAAGGTCTAAGTCATGCCTGTTCGTTAAATAACAATTCCCTGTGAAGTAGTTATCTCGAAATTCAACAGAGCATTTTATAATTCCAACAAGCTTTAAAATATCTCCGGATGCATTTCGTGCAGTATGCTCAGTAGGTAATACTTGTGGACAACCAATTAAATTCCATGTTCGTTTAGAGATCAATGTGATATCTGACGCTGTATCAAATTGTAATCGGACATGAACACCATTAACCAATAATTCCACATACCTTCTTTTATCTGCCATACTTAAAGCTCGTGTAGAATATATACTGTTAATATATTTGTTTTGAAACTGGTGAGGACGCTTCGTAGGCTTTGATCTCAAATTTTCTCTTGTCCGGCAAACTGCTTCTTTATGACCAAGTTTATTGCACACCGTGCATCTATGATTTCTAAATCTGCAAAATCTTGAAAAATGCCACGCGCCGCAATACCAACATTTCGTTGAAGGTTTAGGAATTTTTGTGTGATGTTTATAACTTTTGGCACTTTTTTGTCGTTGACTTGTCTTAACAGCATGGACAGAATGAGTAGATGGTGCAGCACTTTTGGTTTCTAACATAGCCGAATCCTGTTTCAAGTTTATTAATCGTTGACACTCACCAGTAATGGTTTGTAGCGTCATTTCTTCGTCATGTTCCATACGAGATAATAACTTCATGCGAACATCAGCATCGCTGGGAGAATTCAGACCAGAAATAAATAATAAGCATTTAAATTGATCACTGGTTAACACATTTAATTTAAATCGTTCCGCTTGTAAATTTACTCTTCCGGCATACGTAGTATAATCCTCATCAGCTTCTCTAGTCAGTTGTAGACAATTATACCGGATACGAAATAGAGACATCTGTTCAGAAAACATTTTATTTAAAATGTTAACAGTTTCATCGAAACTAATCTCTCGTGGATGTTTGGGCAGGATATGGTTTTTATACTTCTGATGCTCGTTAGGACCAAGTTTCTGTAAGAGCAACCGGACTTTCTTTGTGTCCTCCATAGCAGCAAATTCTACTCGAAAAATATCTTCAATTCTGCCAAACCATGCTTCAAAAGTGTGACCGCTGTCTGCATCGAAAATAAATTCTGGAATTGGATTAAGATATGACTCTATGCTTTTATGTTCTGGAATATCTTGCTGAATAGACATTTTCCCCAAAAGTGCTTCCAGGAGTTGTTGTTGACAAGCTAACATCTGTTGCTGCTGCTGCTGCAATATTAACTGTAGCTGTTCTGGAGAAATTGACATTTTTTTTTATTTTTTTAAAATGAGAATAATAATAATAAATCCAAAAAAACACCGGCAAATATTATGGATTATTTAATTCCAAAATGACGTCACCGACTGCTGTATTTTTTTTCAGAATCACGTCCCAATTCTTGTATTTTTTTTTTACCGAAATCCCCGTCGCCAATTTGTTATGATTTGACCTAGACTGTAGCCAATTGTTATGACTTGATCAAGGTCGTCGCTGATTCGTTATGACCTTACGAATTTAACAAGGACGTAATTCTCGTAAATGATCCACCAATAGAATACGCCTTCTACGACCTTCACACTGTGACAATGACGTTCGATTAATATGAGTAATCTAGCGTCCTTATTGGTCCTTATCCGCCTACCCGTCCACTTGAGTCCAGAACACCAATAGCAGCTGCTGTAATGCGAATCGTTTATTTCAAGCATACTTTATCTATATACCAGACAGGCAGACCACACCACACCATAAAATAGAAAATAATATTTGTACAAAACCAGGCCAAATGAAGCTGTAAGCGTGGGAGACAATAATCAATAAAACTGAGCATAACGTAGGGACAGTAAATCATATAGTAATAATCAATAGGTCAAAATGAAGCTAGTAATAAGATGAATATAGATATAGATAATCCAGTTACTGAATAGTTATACCATAGGAATATAAATAGATTAATAGTCTAATAAGAGGTCCCGTAAGTTATCAGTACTTACTTTTTCCTAGTATATAACAGTTTTCTAATTTAGGGGTAGGTTGTAATGAAGCTAGAGTTGGTCAAACCGAGACGTATAAATCTATAGACTGACTGTTATTTATTTATTTATTTAAACACATAAAAATTGTTAAAAGGAAGCACCGAATAGATTTACGTCGGGGATAGGATACTACTTTGGAGCCGAAACCGAAGCAGGTAATTTTCTTGGGGGGTCACACCCAGGGCCTTTGACTTAAAGGTCTAATCCACAAGACCGTGGAGCAACGTCAGGAGATGCAGTCCCATGGTAGCCGGTGACCAATAATTTGTTCATACGTCATTTGTTCCTTCAGGATCCTGGAACCCATTTGCACCATTGGTCTGGAATGAAGGTTTTCCAAATCCCCTAGGTGGACTTCCCGTATCCACCAAGCCGGTTAAAGCGTCGGATATACTCTTTTCGTCCTCACGATTTCGTAAAGAACACTCCAGTGTCGAGAAGATAGTGTGTAGGACTTCCCTGGTAGTGGTTGTATGCACATGGCGATGTGAGAGCATTTGGAGAGAGAGAGCTGACTCTTCTCGCTCTCGGCCATACCAGGGCATTTGAGAGCCACACTGACTGTTGAACTGAGTCGTACAGACTACCTGGTTACGATCTTCGCAATTGTCATAACAAATGGTTAGGGACTTTGTATGTGACGTGGCTCAAAATCACCATAATAATATGGTGTGGTGACTTAAACTGATGCATGGCAATGTTCCATGTTCTACGTTGCTTACGACTGACTGAAGAGCTTAACTTCTAACGAATCCCATTTGTGCTTGGAATAATCGAAACGGAGGTAGAACAGATGTTTTACTATGAATATACATTATTTTATGAGGGTCAAAAAAGATACATCCTCTGTATGTTAACCTCATTTTGTGAATTCATTCAACAGTCTAAGTGAAAAACAAGATAGTAAATAATACGAATGTCTCTTTTTTTCAATGATCCTACTTACCCAAACAGCTTCAATGGAAGAAAAGTTTTGTCATTCAAGCTAAATAAAAGTGACTATCGATACAAAACGTCTGTACTAATGGTCCATAGTAGGTCTTTAACAGGGGAGCATAAAGTTATTTATTAAATTGTTAGGTTACCAATAGGGTAATGATACCCCATTGGAAAAAAATAGCACGAATGTGTTAATATGTCTTAAAGACTATCAAGTCTTCCTTCTTTCTAATCTTGTCAGGTGAGACACGTGGTATTGGTGGAATATTTTTCGATGATTTAGAAGATACTTCACAAGAAAAAGTATTCAGTTTTGTAAAAGTAAGTGTCTTTTAAGAAAAAGTTTTCTGAGCATAATCTCTGTTTTTATAGTTTATATCATGAAGTGGCTTTAGTTGTACAGCAGTTAAACACATTAAACGTCCTGGTGTGTAAATCCTCAATAGTGCGGACCCACGATCCCATCGAATATTGAACCCAGAACATTCAAGTCTCATGACTAGCGTCCACTCACTAGACCTCTAAACCAGCTTTCCCTGGCTTACATGTCTATCTTTATTCAGTTTGCTATGTTGTGTAATCATGTTCCAATGTCATTGATGGGTCCTGCTTTCAGCCCCCCCCTGATATCATCGATGGAAACTGCTAAGGATCCCCATATTATAACGGAATAACTTTCCATTATCTCTTGGTATTCATTGGTTGTGTAACTGAAATCATTCCATGATGTAAACTAAAAAAATCAACGATCTGCACAAGCTCCTTACGTTAATAATTTTTAATTGTGTCTCACACATGTTTCGCCACTCGATTTTATTGGCCTTAAGGAAGATCTTTGCTGTTGTATTGCGAATAGTTAACTTTGTTGTGGGAAAGAGCTTAAAAGTTTTACTCATGTCAGTGGTTATCGTTCGAACTTGAAAATGGGATATCTGTTGAATGTATGTAGACCCTGTTAACTTTGAGCTCAATGTAGGTTTCTATCCTTGAAACTTCTTAACTAGTGTATGGACTGCTCTCATCATCCCAATATTTTTGAACAAATATGTAGACGAAAATTGGAAAAACACTAAAACTGTACTTACTTCATGACTAGTTCTTCTCTGGGGCTCTTCATTTTGACTCAAATGAGATCGTACGATGATGTTATCGATAGGTATCGGACTCCAGTTAGATCGGACGAATGATCGTTATCGAATGATTACTATTGAAATATACATGCCTCCAACCCTCGTATACAATTATCAACTTAGATCGCGTTAGTGAATAACGGAATTAAATAAGTCAAATATGAGACTGAATTTCGAATACTTATATTTCATACAATCGTTAATTCAGTCAGACGTTCAGAGAAACGGTGTGAAGAAAGCGAATGAAGTGACGCGCAGTGGAGTTGGCTCACTCGCCTTCGCCGCACTTCAGTTCTTTGCACTTTATTCTCTTTTTTTCGCCTTCTTCACTTCTACCTGATTTCCCAAACCGAAATAACCAGGACGGGGCTCGGACCTAGGACTTAGTGACCGAAAATCGAACGACTTAACCACTAGGCCATCGCGCTAAGTATTAGGTAGAGGTGATGAAGTTGGGAATTTTTACCAACATGGATATATTCGGACCGATGTGTATTGTCACTGACTACCACGATTGTTAGCATAAAAGCAGGCTGAGACATGACGCTAGTTCATGAAGTCATCTCAGGATTTTGTCGGGTTTCCTGTAATTATTGTTATTTTCAATTAGAAATGTGGCGTAGTATGTTACAGTGATTTAGAACTGGAAAAGCCATAATAAGGCAATTAGTGAAACCAATACGATCAAACTATATTAGTTGGGTAGGGGTTCGAACCGGGAATCGGTTAGGTATCTAGAAATGTTCACTCCTAAATTATTTTTGGTGTTTTGCAAAACATAATCATGACTTCATCTCCACTTCTGATACAATAAAGATATCAATATCTTTTGAGAGAGATCTCAAAGTCCTACAACGAAATAGGTTTGTAGGTTTATGTAACCAAATATCTAAACAATAGTTTCACAAGTTGTCTTTTTATTAACAAACCAAGAATCCAAGAGGTTTTCTTATAACGACATACAACGTTATCACGTGACTCAGTCTCCCCCAGTAAGGAGGTTTTTTCTTATGAGTTCACCAAAGTAATCTACGGAAACTACTTACAACCTTATCACTTCTCGTATTTATAGGTGTGTGCACAATGAAAGTGTCTGTCGGTTGATGTGACCACGGTTCCATCGGTTAATAGCTTCAAGAGGAGCCTTATACATGGGGTCTGGTTTAAGTAACCTTTAGATCCTAAAATTATTATGATAACACAATTCACTGTCTTTATGACCGATTCCCAGTGTAACAGATATACTAGTATTTTTTTCTGCCAATCATTGTTTTTTTACTGAACCGGGGATTCGCAGTCGGTTGATAACTTTATTCCTGTTTGGCTTGCTAATTGAACAGTTTTTATGAACTTTCTATCCTTTTCTTATAACCGTATACCATGAGTACACAAACAAAAATGAAAAGGCTCAAATTGTAAGGGCTTTGTTTCATGTTTAGTTCATGTATAGAAAATCGACTGTACTTATAGAGTTGCACGTGGCCTTGATCTTCTAGAACTTTATGGAAACATACTAAAAATGGTCACGATGTACCCAATTATCTAATCAAAATTGTGATAGATGATTCTTCGTTTTCTAACTAACATCTAGTATGAGCCATGTTGATAGATGCAGACTACTTGGTTGGGGTCCGCGCGACTATCGTAACCAATGGTTGGAGACTGTGGGTGACATGACTCAGAATCGATCACAATGGCGCAGGTGTATGCACTCTTTATCTTCCCTTAAACCTTGAGATTAAAATTGCTCCATATCTGTTTTCCTTCCTGTTCTATATCCTTATATACAATCTTTCTTTTATATTATGGTACCGTTAAATTAACTGCTTCAATGAATCCGGTGTTGATCTTGTTGTGCTAATGAGGTATGGCAAGTTGAACCGATGCATATATGTGCCTGGTCCTACTTTGTAGCTGACTGTGATATTTCTGAGAAACTTCTATTCATCACTAGCTAGATAAAATGCTTTAAGGTGTTTTATGGGTTGCTGAGGGATATTTTAGGGATTCCTAAACACCATAAATTTTATTTATTTATTTATTGAAACACATAAATATTGGTACAAGGGGGCACCAGATATATATGCGCCTCACAAATCTCATTTGATTTGTGTGATGGCCATGATACTGTGCAGGTGCCCAAACTGAAGCAGGTGGTTTTTTTAAGGGAGCCACACTCGGAGCCCTCCACCTAATGGTCTGATCCACAAGGCAGTGGAGCATCGTGGGAGATGCAGTCCTATGGTATCCGGTGACCAACAGTTGGTTCACACGCCCTTTGTTCCCTCAGGATCCTGGAGCCCATGTGCACCATTGGTTTGGAATGAGGGTTTTCCAAATCCCCTAGGTGGACCCTCTGTGTCCACCAACCACGTTAAAGCGCTGGACATTAGCTTTTCGTCTTCTCAATTTCGTAAACAACAGTAATGCCACGAGAAGGCAGTGAGTAGGACTTCCTCGGTAGAGGCTATATACGTGTTGTCATGTGAGGCCATTTGGAGAGGGAAAGCGGACTCTTCCCACTTTCGGCCGTACCAGGGCATTTGGGGTTAAACGCCATAAAAGTAATTATCGATTGCTTTAATGATAAAGAATATTTAAAGAGATTTTTATATTCACTTATGAAATGCACTAATTGTAAATAAAATACTATTTCTCTATACTCTTTAATTTTATTGGTTAACAGTCATGTGCTGAAGCAATTATTCCAGCTTATCTGCCAATTGTTGAAAAGCGAAGACATTTAAAGTATACTAATAAAGAACGGTAAATCTTATTTACAATATATTATTTCAAGCGAAAGTATACAGAAGGGGTTTTTGTGGAGATTTCAGTATTTTTTTATAGCTGAAATCATGAGTTAGACCACCATGGAATAACGTGAAAGCACTGGACGGCCGTTGGATGCCGGCTCAGTGGTCTTTCGGTTAAGTACACTTTCACGAGACTGGTAGGTCCTGGGTTCGAATCTCGCGAGATGGGATCGTGGATGCGCACTGCCACCGAGGAGTCCCACAATAGGATGAAACGACCATTATGATTCCAACTACGAAAATATTCCTTTACATAAATATATATATATATATATATCTTTAAATATCAGTTCTTAGATAACTTTCTTATGAAATTGTGTAATATACAGTGTGGTTCATTCATAAAGTACCACATTAAGTACTCGGTTTTTTAATACATATTTTAATTGTTTATCAAGAATGATAGATATTGCTAGAACACTTAGTTCTACTTTATGAATATGAAATGGTCATTAAGAATTGTGGATATTCTTACACCATTAGTATTCCATCATAGGTGTCTTCAAAGCATTGCTTGTGTATTTTGGGACCAAATTTATCTATAAGGTACTAGGTAAATATGGCGAATCGGTTGATGAGTTAGATAGTGAATATTCATCAAATAAGGTGCTTGAAACATGTGTTACATATATCTGACTATCTGCTACCGTGATGGGCGATGTTGTCTAGTGTAAGTAGTTTTAAATAAAGCTTAAGATGACAAAACTAAGACTTGGCATTAGTCTATGAGGTCATTGACTGTTGAACTAAGCCATATAGATAGATGTAAACTACCTGGTTGGGGTTTGTGTGATTATCGTAATTCATAACTAGAGAATTTGTGTTATAGTTCAGAATTTATTTATTTATTTATTTAAACACATATATATTGATACAAAAGGGCACCAGGTACATATGCGCCACACAAAATAATGAAAGTAGGTAGATAAAGGATGAAAAGATAAGGCGGGCTGAAATGTACAACCAGAAGATTCTTTCAGTTAGGAAAGTTAGAACCATTCTTTATGTAGAAAGTAAAAGAAGGTTGCAGCAGGATCGCCACTGGCTTCTATTCTGAGCCATATCCGATAACGTCTCTAGCCACTGTGTTGCACTATCTCTCGGACCCCAACCAGGGAGTCGTGAAGGACCAACGGAAGCTAGCCCTTTGCAGCTCTCTTTCATGCCACGACACCATGTCATACACTGACCTCCTCTCCGCTTTCTCCAACCAGTCCCAGGGTCGGCAAATAATGCACGACGCGGAAGTCTCTGGGACGACATTCGTAAAACATGTCCGAGCCACCGAAGTCGGTGTTTCAAGATGGTGACACCAATTGAATTATCGTCTCTGCTCCCGAACACACGATGCCGAACCTCTGCATTACTAACATGGTGTTGCCACTGGATGTCAGCAATCCTTCGGAGACAACGATGATCGAACACAGAGAGACGTCTAACATCCTCAACTCGGAGAGGCCAGGTTTCACAAGCATAGAGCAAAACTGCTCTCACCGACGCGTTGTAGATCCGACCTTTTACAGCCAGACTAACATCACGAAGGCGCCAAAGATGGCCCAGATTGGCATAAGCCGCTCTGGCTTTCATTATACGTGCATCAATCTCATCACTCACGCCACCACCAGCACTTATATAGCTACCTAGATACACGAACTTCTCAACTACTTCGATCTCCTCACCATCCAGGGTGAGTACAGGATGAGAATCCTGCCAGTCTTGTAGGAGTACTTTGCACTTGGAGGGTGCAAAGCACATGCCGTACCTGCGGACACTGATTGCCAACTGATTAAGTGCTGATTGCATGCCTTGGGCATTATCGCACAGTAAGACAATATCATCCGCATACTCAAGGTCGAGAAGTCGTTCTCCAGGCAGCAGATCCACACCGCCATTACTTACATCCATCAGAGCTGTTTCTAGGATGTCGTAGATGGCAAAGTTGAAGAGGAATGGTGAGATCGGGCAACCCTGCCTAACCCCACTGCTCGAATGGAACAAGGGAGAAAGGTGGTTGTATGCCCTCACTCTGCCTGAGGTGTTCGTATACAGGGCCTTTAAGATGTTAATGAACTTCTCAGGCACACCCTTCTTCAATAGGCAATCCCAGAGAACAGTCCTGTCCAACGAATCGAAGGCCGCCCTGATATCAAGAAACATTACGATTGTTGGCCTGCGATAAGTATGACGGTGTTCTAACATTTGGCGGAGGGTGAAGATGTGATCAATGCATCCTCGACCAGAACGAAAACCAGCCTGCTCCTCGCGAGTCAATCGTTCTCGGGTTTTAAACAACCTACGAAGAATGATAGAAGCCAATAGTTTGGACGCAATCGAAAGTAGACTTATCCCCCGATAGTTGCTACAGGAACAACGTGAACCCTTTTTAAAGATAGGGACGACTATTGACTCATTCCAAGATGTTGGAACACTTTCTTGCTCCCAAACCTTTCCAAACAACGCAGTCAGTTCCTTAGCCAGAAAGTCACCACCATCTTTAAAAAGAGCCGGAGGTAAGTCATCTGGGCCAGGTGATTTATAACGTTTCAAGAGTTGGAGTTCCTTGCGGACTTCCGCCTCGTTTGGTGGATCAGTCGTCACCGGCCATGGGGAGCAGGACAAGCTGGTTGATGTTGCCGGAGCAGCAGGCCAGTTGAACTGCCCTTCGAAAAATTCCGCCCATCGTCCAAGACGTCGACAGATGTTAGTGATTGGCATCCCGTCATCCTCGTAGATTGTTTCACTCACACCAGACTTCTTGCTGCCAGTGGCTCGGATGAGTTGGAAGAGCTTCCGGCAGTTACCAGATGCAGCTGCTGCTTCCATCTCATTAGCACGCTCCGACCACCAGGCTTCTCGGTCCTTACACAAGCTTTGCCCGATTTCATTACGTAACAGCCTTCGTTTGTGGTCAAACTCACGGTCACCCGGAGTAGACCGACGGGCTTCCATCAGTTGTAAGGAGCCAGAAGAAACCCAGTGCTTGTAAGCGGGACGTTTCGCGAAGCCGCAAGCGGCTTTACTCGCCATTTTCATGGCGTCGTGAAGATGCAACCAATGCTCGTCTATACTTTTCGGTGGGGTGGTAGCTAGCCTAGAGGCTAGCTCAGCTCGATACTTACTTGCAACAGAAGTTGCAGCCAGTTTACTAATATCAATCCGTTGGTGGTGGTCAATCCTTCGGCCACTGAAAAGTAAGGTGAGATTGGTGCAGACCAGGGCATGATCAGACTCCAGATAGGTATTCCAAAAGGAGCGGCAGTCTTGTACACAACCACGCCAGCGGTAGCTGATCGCGATGTGATCAATCTGAGTCCAGGCTTGGGATGCAGAGGGAGGACGCCAGGTGGCACACCGGCGATGACTGTGCCGGAAGTTAGTGCTGGCCAGAAACAGGTTGTGGTCTGTGCACAGTTGCAGCAAACGGTCCCCGTTATCTGTCCGGCGACCAACAAGTCCCCATCGGCCACCTAGACGACTCTCTTCTGTGCCTAGACGCCCGACCTGTGCATTCAAGTCTCCGGCTAGTACTACAATATCTGTCGAACGCGCTTTCTGGAGAAGAACTGTTAACTGATGGTAAAACTCATCCTTGATTGCATCCGGGCTGCAATCTGTCGGGGCATAGGCGGAGATGACGAAAAGACACCGTTTCTCACGCCGATTTCTTCTCACTTTGATGGAACTTTCTAATCTAACAGCACATAACCGACTGTTAATGGGGATCCAATCGATTAGTGCTGCCTCAGCTCTAGCGCTTAGTGCGACACCAACGCCAGCAAGACCAGACGAAGATGCCACAGGGTCCCCGGATAAGCGCACGTGGAACAAGCTTTTCGAGGCGACAGATGGAGAGCGGATTTGTAGTACTTCACACACACACAAACAAATGAATGAAATTATGAACTCTAATAGTTCAGAATAGCCTGCAATGATTCAGATTTATTCACTCCTTGTTTTGATTCAGATTCTGAGTCCTGAAATCCTTTTATACTTTTTTTCTCATTTTCTGTAGTTAATCCATTTTTATTTCTACTTATACTGTTGCGATTTCTGCCACTCTGGGATTTGTCGTGAAATAATTTTATCTTGCCGTGCTAACATGGTGTTATTATTATTTGAACACATAAATATTAATACAAGGGAACACCAGATACATATGCGTCACACAAATCTCATTTGATTTGTGTTAGGGCTGTGATTCTGCCCGTATGCCCAAATCGAAACAGATGGTTTTCTTAGGGGGCCATTCCCTGAATCTTTGACTTAAAGGTCTAATCCACAAGGCACTGGGGCAACGTTAGAAGATACAATCCCATGGTAGCCGGTTACCAATAATTGGTTCATACGTCATTTGTTCGTTCGGTTAAAGCGTCTGACATTCGCTTTTCGTTCTCACAATTTCTTAAACAACACCCTAGTGGTGAGAAGGCAATGTGTAGTATTTCTCTGGCAGTGGTAATATACGCGTAGCCATGTGAGAGCATTCGGAGAGGGAGAGCGGACTCTTCTTACTCTCGGCCATACCAGGGCATTTGGGGGTTGGAATGTCGCTGCCAGGATGGTGTGGGGCACCTGATACCCATTTGTTAGGTTATACTCCACATCTGACTAAATGATTGGTTAAACCAAATTAAATAAGATGAAATCTAAACTTTCAAGTAATTTAACACCCACTCTTACCATTATTTCAAGTGATATACAAATGTAAAGAGTGTTAATTAGATGAATTATTGATATTATAAACGACTACAATATAATCGAATTCGGTTTGGTCACCTGGGCAACATCACAGCCCACTTACAAATCAAGTGACTTGTGTGGGGTTATATGTATACGGTTCCCCTTTGTACCAATATTTATGTGTTCAAATAAATGGTTAATAAAAACCGGACATCACAAACCTTTGTTTAGTTTATATCATTGTGTTTGTTAATGGATGTATTCATGTATCAATGAACTGTAAATAAAAGAGCTATTAAGTTGAAAGGTTTTTAGAAAATAGTTTTCATCATGGTTTACTATCAACCGTACGTTAGTGCTCATAACTACTTCAATGTCAACGTCATTTAGCATAAAGTCACAAGCATTATAAACAAAGATAGATAGTGGCTAGCAGTGGAATCCAGAACGCGCGTTTCGTCCTATTCAGGACTCGTCAGCTGGATGTACTAGCATCGAACCCAGTCCCTTTCGCTTCAAACGTCATCGAGTTATTTATTTGGCTGGGTTTGAGTCCCAGAGCGCACATCAACCCTGAGATATAGGTACATCCAGCTGACGAGTCCCAAATAGGACGTAACGCGCGTCCTAGATTCCACTGCTAGCCACTATCCATCTTTGCTTATAATGCTTGTGACTTAAAGCTATATCGAGTCAATACGCACAGTATGCACTTATGGCTAATAAAAGACTGATCGATTGCAGTCCTAAACATCAATGAAATGATTCAACTAAACAATACCAAGTGAATATAAAGTAACATGTTTTTACAGAGGTTAAGTATTTTATTTACATTATCTGATCCCTCATCAATAAAGTATTACAAAGGAAAGAGGATGGAGATGAATATGTTGGGTTTCTATCTCACAACTGAATGGAAGTGTCGTATGGAAGCTTTACTGCTAAAAGACAATGAATTAATGTTCATTCAGATTAAAATCATTTGCAAATCATACTGTTTACATCTAATCTGTCCTTACTGTCAACACTTCTATTCTGATGTTACTTATTCATAGTTTCATCTGTCTGTGCTAATATGATGTGACAACTTGAACCAATACACCAGTCAGTCAGTCAGCTACAACGTAGGACTAGACACATATATGCATCAGTCCAAGTTGCCATACCTCGTTAGCACAACAAGATGAACACCGGATTCATAGAATCAATACATAGTTATATGCTAAGTTTTACGTTGATAATTGCTGATTCAGTACGTAATTCAATGATCTCTCATACACTGCATTGAATTATGAATGAATCATTCAACATCATTACATCTTTGTGTGTGTTATTCTATTGGTAAATTTACTTATTGTTCCTTACTTATATTCTCTTGATTTGTATTTGATAGTGAATGGCAGTTGGTAAGACGTGGACGTTATGTTGAATTCAATTTAATCTATGATCGTGGAACTAAATTTGGTTTAGCTACCCCCGAAGCTCGTATTGAAAGTATTCTAATGTCTTTACCACGTTATGCTGTAAGTTGGGAGTTGATTTACTATTTTTTCTGTGTTGTCAATTATTTTGTGTGATTATGACATTTGTTATCATTAGGCTTGGCGACTGACTCGAGATCACAGTACATTTAGTTTAATGTTGAATTGTTAGAGGCTTTTTATAGATGTAGAACCTAAGTTTTCTACTCCTCGGTATACTACTCACTGAGGGGGGATAAGTTTACTTCTAGTAAGAAGTTGAATGACAAGTTTTGTAAGTAGACACATTCTGCTGATAAGTGCCCCCAAATGCCCTGGTACGGGTGAGAGTGGGGAGAGTCTGCTCTCCCTCTCGAAACGCTCTCATATGGGCACGCGAATATATAGCCTCTGCCAGGGAAGTCCTACTCACTGCCTTCTCGTGGCGGGGGTGTTGTTCACAAAAGTGGGAGGACGAAAAGCGAATGTCCGGCGCTTTAACCGGGTTGGTGGATGTGGAGGGTCCACCTAGGGGAGTTGGGAAACCCTCATTCCAAACCAATAATGCACATGGGCTCCAGGATCCTGAAGGAACGAATGGCGTATGAACCAACTGTTGATCACCGGCTACCATGGGACTGTATCTCCTTACGATGCTCCACTGCCTTGTGGACTAGACCTTTAGGTCAAAGGCTCCGAGTGTGGCCCCCTAAGAAAACCACCTGCTTCAGTCTGGGCACCTGGGCAGTATCACAGCCCTCACACAAATCTCATTTGATTTGTGAGGCGCATATTTATCTGGTGCTTCCTTGTACCAATATTTATGTGTTTAAATAAATAAATCTGCTGATAAGTAGTGGTAGTAGTAGTGCGTCCAACATTTAATGGATATCATATAGAATTTCGGGTGGTTGTTTGCTTTTATCGCTCGTCAGTATACTGAATTTTCCGACGTACATTACTCACTGTTTCAGTCAAAGATGTTATCACTGAACTGTTCAGTACTCAACTGTGCTTTTATAGGTCTGGGATATATGTTCACACTGGTTGATCAGTCGATGCTTTTAACCAATATGCTTCAATAGGGATTTAGTATGGGTTCTTATATATGTTTCTCAACACCTTTCTTGAATTTAATGATACCGGAATTTTCGAGGATCGAGTTACAGACGTTTTACTGGACATGTTTTCCCATCCTTTTTGATGTGATTTCCTAGTGGTTTGTTGATTTGTTTGTCTTCATTTCAGTGGTATCAAGAAGTACGTCCAAGGGTAATTGCGTTTATTATCTGTTCTCATCTATCCAAAACATACCGTTGGTTTATATATCTAATCCACATGCCTCTTCTGATTTGTACTTTGTACACCACAGACTTCCGTCTCTTGACGATCTTCGTAGGAGGGCACTAACAGTGTTATAGACCAAAAATAGATTTTATATCAACAACCAATTTGAATGTTTAAACTGCGCTAATACCGTTGAATTAGGTGTTATGAGACTCATATTCTGAATGGCCTTTTCCGAAGGGCATACTACAAAATTGTATAAATACCTTCACGTTCTCCTCCGTATTGTCATGGGCTTAAGCGGGTGCAAATCTTTGGCTTTCTCTTGTGTTCTCAGTAGCTGCGAGTGGTTGGATAAAAAGCTATTAGGAGCATCGTTGTCCCGAAGTAAGTAGCTAGCAACGAGGCGTAACAGGAACCAAGATGAGAGTCATGATGATGTTCGGGAGCATTGTCAGCTTGATAGTGGTTCTCCATGATGAACAGTTAAAATACGAATAACCATTACTTATTTATAACTGGACGTTTGAAAATGTGGATATTTCCGTCACCGGTTTTATGTATGGCATAACAAAGTTTCTGGATTTGCCTTCATTAGCGTAGACGGAACAAAACATGCGTTAGTATGAAGCTTACCACTAGCTAGTATACATTCAGAGATTGACTACGATTGGAAATGTTGCTAACCACTCAACCTAAAAAGAGCATCACCCTCAGTGTGAGGTGAGCTAAATATCTTGAGCATATTTCTGTGTTGAGTGGTAATTTATAACTGTATGTCGATGATCAGTTGTCCACGAAGGCACCAAATAGATATGCGCCACACAAATGATTCGATTTACGTGAGGGATAGAATACTACTCTGGCTCCCAAACCGAAACAGGTGGTTTTGTTAGGGGGCCATACCCAGAACCTTCGACCTAAAGGTCTGATCCACAAGGCATTGAAGCAACTTTAGAAGATGTAGTCTCATAGTAGCCGGTGACCAATAATTGGTTCATACCGAATTTGTTCGTTCAGGATACTGGAGCCGATGTGCATCATTGGTTTGGAATCAGGGTTTTTCAACTCTCCTAGGTGGACTGTCTGTGTCCATCAACCCGGTTAAAGCGTCTTAGTAGGATTTCTGGGGTAGTGATTGTATACGCATGGCCATGTGAGAGCATCTGGAGAGTTAGAGTTGACTCTCCTTACTCTCAGCGCAGTTTTCCGCCAAAATAAGGAGCAAATAACTGTGTTGAAGAATGTTTTTTTGCTCTCTCTCTTTCTCTGACTATACGCTTATTCTGAGATTTCTCTTTAATTACTTTATTTTCAACATTTATTCTTATTATAAATAAATTATATATTTGTAATATCCCAATGAGTAGAAAAATTAGATTTTCTGACGTTTCGTGACTCAGTGTAAGCCACTTCTTCAGAGAATAAATAACCAAATTAATATTAATCCAAGTTTAAATAGTACAACGGAACAATCAAAGAATATTAGGTGATCAATCAAAAACCGGTCTGAATAAATCAATGTCACGTCATTTCATTTCGTTCAAAGTGATTCATAAGGGATATGTATGTAATTTTGTGTGTATGTATGCATTGTTAATGACGAAAAATGTGTGACCTTTGTAATGACAAAGGATAGAGTTTAATTTGTAATGTAATGGTGTGAGATTGTAAATAATATTATTTATTCTTATTATTGTAGCAGTGGAACTATTGTTATGATAGTTCTCAAGATCCACGTAATCAATCTCTTATTGAAGTACTTACAAATCCTAAAGAATGGGTTTAAACATCATAGTGTAAATTACATGTTAGTAAACATTCTTCTTTTTTGAATGAATGACACTTTATTGTATAGAATTTTATATCTTACGAATCTCTCTATATTTATTTATGTATATAGTTAGTTCATTTATTTTGTATTGTGTTATATACCTATGAAAGTAGAATATAAAGAAGAGGCCTGTCTTTTGTTTTTATGTTAGTTAGTAGTCGGTTGGATCCATCTTGTTGTATGATGTCAGTTACGTGATCGGTTACTTGTATGAGGGCTAATATCACTTCCCGGCTGCCCACACTGTGGAAAGGTGTTTCTTGAGGGACCTGAAAAGGAAGTTGGTTTAGTATTGGTCTTAACGACCTGGGTGCGTGACCTCAGTGCCCAAGGGACAACTGCTTGATGCCGGTCTCGCACGGCCTTTTTGTGCAGGATTTTTGACGTGTTAGTTCCGTTCTTCAAAGGACCTTACCGCCGGAGATGGAAATCCGTGGGATAAGACGAGGTGTGCATTTTTAGGGTCGATCTTTTCTAATCCCACCCATCCTTGTGGGAAGGCTGCATCGCTGTTATACTGGTTGTCTGAAGGAAACACCTTACTGCTATCACACCTCTGTACAGTCAGCAGTACGATTTCGCCTTCGGACATTGGGATGTGATATCTATTAATGAAAGGCAATATTTATTTTGATAGAGTTTTGTTCTCTGAGCTGGATGGTTTAATCGTGGAGCTTTCATCGTCCTTCTGAACAACATCATCAGCACAAACTTTGGGTAGAAGTGAAGTGTTTGAATTTCTTCACATGTGGTTCATAGCTTATCATGTACTCCTCAATGTTGATTGGTTCTTGTTGACCTTAAATCTGTCATTGTTTATTTCTTTAATCAGAAGGGATTTTGGTGAGATTTGGTATTTTTATAGTTGAAAGTATGATTCAATTGGGACTCTGCTGAGGAGTCCCACAATAAAATGAAACGGCTATCCAGTGCTTACAGGTTTTCCTTGGTGGTCTAGCTTCAATTGACTCATGCTTTCATGTATGCAAATAATAAATCTCCACAAAACCCCTTCTGATTATAATCATATGCTCACTAGTGACTGACTTTGAGAAATAGTTTCTGGAGTTCTATTGATAAGCAGTAACCAGTGGGGTTCAAACCACGTCCGTTGAGAGACAGAAACTCACTGAAGACAATTGGTGAACGGTTGCTCAACTTAGTGGATTGGTTGAAGTTAGACATAAACACCATCGGATGCTGGCTCAGTGGTCTATCGGTTAAGTGCTCTGGTGCGAGACTGGTGGGTTTTGGGTTCAAATTTCGCAAGGCGATGTCGTGAATGCGCACTGCTGAGGAGTCCTACAATAGGACGAAACGGTCGTCCAATGCTTCCAGGTTTATTTCTTTATTTGGTTGTATCTCTAATTGGTTTGGTTTTTGTTCCTATGTTTTTGCATAATTTTCCTGATTGATTGGTTGATAAATTGGATTGATTTTAATGTGATTGTTTATTGTTGACTGACCTGAGTGCCAAGCTTCTAAAAACTTCTCTGGTGTTTTTGGAATTGCCTCTATCAAAAATCTCCAAAATTTTCCAATCGAATATGTGCCTGTATTTGACCATGTGCATTGATATAAGTGAAGACATATCATGGCGTTTGACTGCTAATCGATGTTCATGCAGGCGACTAAACCATTCAGCTCAGAGAACGAAACTCCATCAAAATCATCCATCTGAGCTACAAATCTTCTCCACCATCGCAATATTCATTCTTGTATCATTTGTTCTTGTAATTGGTTCAAGTAGATTGAGATTAATAGTTTGAGAATTGGAGTTTAGTAACTTTCCTACTGCAACTTTTCTGTAAAAACACCTTTTCTATTGTGAAGCCCCATTGTTTAAAACTTTTTTCATTTCGGAAAGATCAATCTTCGATGAAGACTTCATTGACAAAGGTTGAAGGATATTGATTTACACAAGGAGTACAATCTGTTTATATATGTGTTGACCTTGAAGATATGGCATTTGCTGTTCGTTCACCAAGTATAGTTTTGTGCTACGTTCATACCTTGTGATTGGATTCAGCTCTTTTAATGACCTTCGTTCCTTTAAGTCCTATTATGCTCGGCAGCGCAACAATTAAAAACAGCAAGCTCATCCGAGGGCGAAGTTGTATTACTGACTATATATTGATGTGATAGGGGTGAGATGTTTTCGTTAGATAATCACCATCTACAGCGGTACTGCCCTCACAACGTGATGAAGGGGTTAATAACAATCGACCCTAGAGATGTCACAGATTTCGGTTTGCGGCGGTAGGACCTTTCAAAGCACTGAGCTAACATTAA